CTGCACGGCAGCGCTGGTAGGCGCGATGAGCGTCGTGCCACCTGACCCGAGACGGGTCGCAGGCGTCGTACCGAGCGCGTCGAGACCGTGTCCTGATGTGATCTGCACGGGTGAGTCACGTCGGCGTCAAAGGAGCGACGTGCGACCTGTCAGAGCTTGATCTCCGATCTCAGCGGCGTCGAGTCGTCTCCGGCGCGCGACAAATGTACATCCCCAGGACGCGCAGAGGCAGCTGCGACCCCGGCGAGTGGACGGTTGGACAGCACGCCGCCTGTTGTGTGCAACCGGCTACTCGGCGGGGTCGCAGCTGCCTCTGGAAGGCACGGAGATGTACAAAATGGCGCAAATGGTCAAATCAAGGTTTTGTAACGCGAGCTGTGCCACAGTGAAATGGAACTAGCCCCTGAGGCCTCGCAGCACGAGGCCGCGGGCGTTGGCCGTTGGCCGCGTTCGGCGTTGCGATATGGCATATGCGAACGGAGAATCGAACGGACAAAAGATATCGCAGCAAGCAAGATTTTCGCAAAACCTTTGACGATAACTTACAACCGCTGCGCTACTCTCTCCTCACCACCTGCTGAGACAAGCAAGTAGACACACCAGCCCACCCGACGAGTCACAGCTGCGAGAGCAGCTCGGTCAAGCACTGCGAGGTAAGGTTCACGCCCTCCAGCACAGCGTCCTTCTCGGACGCAAGCAGAACGCCGCCGAAACGAGCGACGAACTTGTCCGGGTGCCACCGTCGCAGCTCGTCCTGCACGGAGCGTCGAGCCGCCTCAGAGCCGGCGGCGTCGGCGGGGACAATGAGCTGGCGCAAATCGTCGAGGATCAGGCGGAGGGGCCCCGCGCCACCAGCGGGAGCCGCGAGGACGGGCCACGGAATCTCGGCGAAGCCCAGCTTGCGCGTCGGCACTGCCGGGCCGACCGCCACGGTCTCATCCCACGCGCTGAGAGAGGCCCAACCTTTTGCGTAGCGGTCGCGCGCAGCCTCCACGGAAGCGCGCGCTGCCACGTCTGCACCCGCTGCGCCGCTGCTCGCGTGTGCCACCTCTGCAGCGGCGCCGCTCGAGCTCGGACTGGCCGTCGCAGCCGCCGCCGCGCTCGCCGCCGCTCTCGCTAGACTGGCAGCCTCTGCCTGCCGAGCTAGTAGCACCTGCCGCGCCACCTCGCGCTGCGATCTTCGCTCCATCTC